GGGCCTGCGGGGGCGGCCGCGCGCGGACGTCGCCGAAGCTGCCCGGGGACTCCACACCCCGGCGGCGCCGGACTGAGTCCTGGAGCTTGCTTTCTAGGGCATACTCTGTCAGTGTCTGGGTCTGTCTGGAACCAGTTCTCTTTTTGAATCAGCTAAGCGCTGTAAGGGGTGGCCAGTGTGGGACTCTGGTTCTCAAAGACAAAAGGCTCGGCCTCTTGTCACCACTTCTCGTCAGTCAGTCCAGTCATTACGATTGGGCTCCTCACTGGCAGCTCTACAAACGTCTCTTCCCCGGTTGTGTGAGTCACCCCTGTGTCAGGTGGGGCCACTGCATTCTACTCCTTCGAGACGTGTTTTCTTTCTTTCTCAGAACCGTTTTCGATGACGCTGGTCCTCCCAGGAAACAGTTGCAGCGCCTCGGGAGAGATGTTAGTGGCCTCTCTCAGATGCTAGAGGCTGGAGGTCCGTAGAGACCACGTGCGCTGCTAAACGTCTTAAAATACACAGGGCAGCGCCCCTCAGCAAAGAGATACCTAGCCGGAAATGTCGGTACTGCTGAGATTGAGAGACCTGGGTGAGGAGAAGAAAAATGACTTTTCTCTGAGCTGCCATTTCCAAAGCGTCCTCCCTAAGTAGTACGTGTCGCCATCTTACAGATTAGGAAAGGAGTGCAGAGATGGTAAGTAATTTGCCAAAGTGACATAGCTGGTAGCTCCCCTTCCTTGCCTTATACCATAAATTTCAACAGTGAAATTGCTAAGTATTTTATTCTTAACCAGTACTGTTCAAAGAATTAATACCCTATATAGTCTGCCAAAAATTATACTTTCTGCTTATCTGTGAGATTTAAATTTCAGTTAACTCTTACTGATTCATGAATTTTCACAACTTCAAATATCCGTGTGGCTGGGCCGGCCCTGTGGCTTGGTGGTTAAGTGCGCGCGCTGCGATGCTGGCGGCCCGGGTTCGGATCCCGGGTGCGCATCGAGGCACCACTTCT